CTACCTCCCGATTCTCTTGCTAACTCCACACCATGTTGAATATCTGTTTTTTTACAGCAAAACCCGCTTACACTTTACATTTCAAAAACAACGCGCACATACAGGACACGCATGGTTTATACACTGCAAGAAATGGTTGTAAATAAATTCGTTGCTGATATGTATTATATAGCTAAATGGTTCTAAAAGATATTTAGTTGGTTAGGAAAATATTTAATTATTCAAATTTGAAAATGTTTTTATTCCTATTTTATTTTTAACTGGCTTGGTTAGACCTTTTTATCATACATTTTTTCATTTTTCACTGTGCATTAGCGTTGGTTGGTTTATAGAAAAAATTTGCATAAAGTGCGCATAAATTATGCCATGAAAAAAGTTATAATACCATACTTACAGGGCGAGGACGACGGCGAGGGCTGAGGCGGCGAAGAAGACGCGATGTGCGCCAGATATCCTATCCCTCGGCCCATCCTTCGCCAGGACTCTCAGGTGTGTCCGGGTGACACAAACTGAACAACTTTTCAGCACGGCGAGGAGAGTTACTTGTGCCCCTCTGATTCTGCTTACATTTAAGTAAAACACCCAAACACAAATACAAACTCCATGGCTTTCAAGCGGCAACAAATTTGTTAAACAAAAATTTCATAAAATAATGCAAAAGTTTGTTGTTGCTATAATTCATTTGAAGGAGCCAACAGGACTCTGTCCCAGCTGTTGTCGCTCACTTGGAGTTTGTTTCCCGGGAAAGGAGCGAAAACATTTCCCCATTATCAATTCAGGGGAAAGCCGGGAAATGAAGGTTCCTCCAGGCAATCGGGAAAACTAATGAGCGACTGGGGGCTAAAATAGTTGGGTTCATTTGGAGGCTAAGCTGAGTTTGGTATTATTTTCATATAAATATTAACGGGGTCGCAAAATGGCCGCTATATTAGCTTATCTCGGCAGCTGTCACTAAAGTTTATGATTTGAATATAACTTTCTGACAAGTAAGTTGTTATGCGTTGATAGTTGGAGAGATGAAGAAACTTTGTCTTGGGTTAATCCAATAGTAATTTATTTATATCAAGCATCCAATCATCATATTAAATGGTTTTTGTTTGAGTTTTTCACAGCAATTAAAAGAATTGACGTATTTGTTTAGGTTTACTCAATGATTTGTTTGTAATAATTACTGGTTTCCCATAATATAAGGTTTCGCTCCATAATTTCCTATAAACTTTAGCCAGCAACCCTTAAATCGACTTTAAACTCTTTAAATCACACCCCCTCTTACATAGTTAATGGCCCTGACAGTGGTTTTGCATTCTCTCCATATCTATTCTGTATAAAAAAGACTAACGCCACGCTTACCATATCTCACCCGATCCCTCCCCCTTTGGGATTCGCACCAGCTGCACTTTAACTAAACTCTAATGCAAAATTCATGGCCAGGCAGAAAAATGACCAGAGTTGCTGTAAAAGTGGGAGGATACGGAAGACTTTTCTGCATTTAGTATGCAACCAGAGTGGAGTTGAGTCGAGTCCAGAAAATGACCATCCAGACACTGGTGGTGACCACAACAACAACTGAACTGAACTGAACTGAACAGAGCGGAACCAAAACCATCGGGGGATATAAAAAGCCCAGCACGAACTAAACTCAAATTGGAGTGACTCCGTTCGAGGCTTATAAAAGTTGCATGAAGGAAGTGAGCAATGGCGGCAAGCCATTTTGTTCCCTCTGATTGATCGTTTGGAGGAACAAGTAATAAAATGGTCTCCAAACTAATGGTATTATAACTCTTAACTTGGTCGAAACCATGGGACACTTTTGGCAAACCGACTTTGAAGAAAATTTGTTTCTAACAAATTATATATTTTTGTAAAAAATCGAAATGTTTATAAATTTCTCGTGCTAATTGCATTGCCGAGAGATTTAAAAACGACCCCCTAAAAAATGAACAGAGATTTCTGTGACAACCCTAAAAATTTCTCCTAACTAATGCTCCCATAACTCAAAACTTGAGAGAACCCAAGTTCCTTGTCTTTTTGCATCCCCGTTTGTATATACACTCCGGGAGGCAGCAAAAAAAACTAACCGCAAATTAGCTTATTTGGCATTTTTACAGTCATTTCATTTAATTTACACAAACAAATTTGCGCCTGGCCAGACAAACAGCCAGCGAGCCAAACAACCAAACAGCCAAACATTCAAACTGGCTAACAGACAATGGCGAGCCAACGAAGCGCGCCGTCAGCCCCATAAAAGTAATGAAGCTGTTTAGGCGTCTCTTAGTAGTCGTCGGAAGTTGGAAACGATGGCTCCTCCATGTCTTGTGTCAGCGGGAAAATGCCCCCGTGCTTAGTTTTCCCTTATTTTTTTTTTCGTTGGGGAGGTAGTGGTGGTGTGAAAGGGAACTACACCCGCTTTTCCTGGCATTAGTTTCTGCCCTCTTCGTTCATTCAAAATTCATGAAGTTGGCGCCGTTTTTATATACACGCCCTCACTCTTTCGGCAAAGAGGTTCCTTCAACGGTTGAAAAAGGCTTTCGCACATAACGCTATATTGCCTAACGAAATTGCCCTAAACTGAAATGCCGCCAATTGTGTTTGCCTCGAACGTCTCATTACGATTTTTCTTACACCTTCACGGTTGATGATATTTCATGGTCTTCAGTGGATTTATTTCCCCCATTCCCATTAAAGCCAATTAGCGAGCGTCTTGAAGCAGTTTTATTTTGATGGAAATTTCTTTTGTTTCCCAGTGCTTGGGCCTGTGAGAACTGAAGAACGTCGAACTATTTTGCATTCACTTATTGCCTGTCGCCATGGCATCGTCACCTGTCCAAGGGCTTGCAAAAGGATGGAAATCCTGCCGTGTAGCTAGTTTGGTATGGTGATGAAATAATGGCTATATTAAGGCTTAAAAAAGAGAAGCATATTTTTTATCAATGGATTTTAAATATTCCTTTCTAGAAAAATATATATCTAAAAGATAAGAATACCTAAATTCACATTAGAAAATTGTAAAATCTTCAATAATTTTGTAATACTTGCAACAGTATTTGGAAAGCTAGGGAATAGGACCGTCTTTTCAATGAAATCTAGCTAAATCGTGTCAGCACTGCTAGGCCACAGACAAGTCCTCCTGGATAAATGTCTTTTACTTGCCATATTTCACTGCAGCCAACTTCTTTTTAATGAAATCCACTTTCATATGTAATTTTGCCATCAGGAGAAGCTTTGCTGCTTTGCGATACCGCTTCCTCGCCAGACGGGCAGGAGGAGTCCTTGTCGAGGATGATTTTCCTGCTAGATGCCGTACCGCCCAAGACAAAAGCCGCTCGACGTCGTTGACGACGCTTTTCGCTTTGTGTCTGGCCATAATTTCCCCCAAGAGCTGCCTGAATGAGGTGGTGGGCAGGAGGACGAGGGGCAGGACGAGGATGAGGACGAGGACCAGGAGCTAGAGCAAAGTTAAGCAAAACTTTGTTATTTGTTTTAAGTGGCAGGTTGTGAGACGCACGCTAGCTACTCGCAGACTGCCTCCGAGGGTTGTTCTCTTTCTCGTCCTGGTTCTCTTCCTCGTTTTCGTCCTCGTTCCATTCAACAGTTCATAAAGTTAATTTTACCACAGAAATTATGTTAAAACGATATATGGCGAGGCAAGGATTTTTGGCAAATGTCTCCGCTTTCGCCATCTTCTTCGACTTTTCCTTTAGTTTGTGGGAACTGCAGCAGGAGTTATTGGAAATGGCATTAGGGCGCCGAAGGTTAAGGAACTTTTCCGACAACTTTTCCAACCCCTAAGGCAGCGTTGCGTATGCGTAATTAGTAACCCTGCGCCCTCAGGTAGCAACTTTTTTGTTTGCGGGGTTATTTATGGATATTAAAGAGGCATTCCGCCTTATTGAACTGTCAACCTTAAGCCAAACAAATTGCGTTCGAGGTCGGAAGAATATCAGAAAAACTATTTCGGAGAAGTTCTGATTTTTTCTGGGGCTAGAGCAATAGAGAAATCAAGGCAGCAGCCATCGCGCAGTCAAGAACTTTTGATTATAACAAATGTTTTGCGGCTCCTGAGAGAGTGGGAAGATGATTGCGGGTGGCCAAAAAGATACAGATATATCTGTGGGTGTGTGTGGGCCTCCGACAATGACAGTTGATAATAAATCTCTCTTGGCCAGTCTGTATATGTGCGCTATGCGCCATTAGAAATGTCAAGGGACTCGGCCAACAATATAGCCAAATAAGATACCAGCAAAAAATTCGGGGCAAATAAATGTAACTCCTGTTTGGCACGAAACAAGTTTCGCAAGTTACTGTCGGTTTGAAATGGTCATTTCAAATCGAGGGTTTGCGGAAAGATTTTCAGATAGGGTATGAGTGCCAAAAGATGGAATATTTACACATACATTTTTGTACCTCAGAGTAATACTTGTATAATGGTTTTTTAATGAAAAAGATGAGTATTTTGTATAGTTCTAACAAAAGCTATTTTCAGAAGAAGAGATTTATTTCAAATGCCAACTTAAAATGATTTATAGATATTTTCGGGTGTTGAATATTTAAGCCGGCCTTTCTTTCGTTTAATGCACTTGCCTTCGCTATCCACCCATTCCCGATCATTTACTTTTATTTATTTCAATAAAAAAGGAGACCAAAGTAACTGCCTGTCACAGGCCATAACTGGACAAGGCTTTTGGCTCCTTCTTACCACTTTCGGGACTGGTCTATGAAAACTTTTCCATTTCCTCTAGTCAATGACAGACTCTTTTCATTAGGCAAAAGGCACTCGACGCAAAGTTGGTGGAACTTTTCCCTTGTTATAGCCGGTTCTTGGGCTCTGGCCAGGACTTTGGACTTGGACCCTGGTCAGTGGTCGGGAGGCATGTGACATGGGCAGACATTCCACAAGTCTGCACAAGTATGACCATGTAATGGCATGTGTTTTGTCGGCTTTCAGGAGTCACTTCATCTCGAACTTTGGACTAACAAACCCATTTTTTCCCTCTTTGCAGACCTTTGCCGGGAAGCCTTTAAGCCATCTATAAACAGGAACAACGGTAAGTGTCAAAAATTGTTAGTATTTCTTGGGAAACGGAAGGGTTGTTCCCCTCTTTTTGAGTGAGTGAGTGACATTTGCCAGAGCGCCTAATTGTAGGCAATTAATTTCTGGCACATCAAAGCAACGGAAGGAAGTTTAACTGGCAGGAAGAGCAAACAAGGAAGACAGCTAAGCAAATGCAGCTGGTGTCCGCTTTTTGGGGGTTGGTTTGGATGGCACGGTCTGGACTTTTCCAACCCGAGGAACCGCGACTCTCGGGCTAACCGCACCTTTTTAACCCTTTATCTCGGCGGTTGGGGGCTGAAAGCAGAACGACATCGAACCGGAAACTTTATGCAGCTCTAATGCGATGGCCGAACAGAGAGTGCTTGGCCGAAAAGCAATTTGACTGCCATTGCCCGGGAGTTAAGTAATAATGAAGAACGGAGCGTCGAAAAATCCATATTAGATAGCCATGATGGCGTATACGCAATATGCGTGCGTAGTACAGAAGCGGTTAAAATTCTAGGATTGGATTAATGGTAAATAAATAACTAGGCTCGCAGATTTATAACCATTTATATGTCAGGAAAATAACAATACCTAAAATGTATTTTTAAAATTTGAATGAACTAAAATAGCCTATTTTTAACCGTTTAGAGTGTTCTTTGGCGTAAATGAAGCTTATATGATTTTTATTTTACCCGCAGTTTTATAATGTTTCGTGTTTTTTGGTGAGGACTTATGGAGCAGGTCAAAGGGTGTGATGGCCAAATAAAATATTTATGAATTGCCCAACCAACGGACGAACCGAAAATTTTGGGGAGCGATTTAATTGCATTACCCGAGATATCTCCCAGTCGATAAGTCGTAGGAAACAAACCACCCATCCTCCCCAAGTAGCATGTGGGAGTGTGCGTGTGTGAGCTAGGGGTGGTTGTCGATTTTGGGGACTGAAATGGGAATTGGTTCGGCTTTTTGGGTAATTGTGGCTACAGGGCAAAAGGCATTACAAGTGTAGAACCTGTATTTTCGCCGCTTTTTGAGGGCATTATTGGGGTTCGGGGCTTGTATTGCCTGCAGACTCTGTTGCGGCGAAAATTTGCGAAATCAATCGTGTGGAAATTGTACAAAATGGCTTTCCGAACACTAAATCAAAGGGAGGAAAAGTCGAGGCAAGTGGCAATGAGCTTGACAAAGGATGAGACACGAAAAAAAAACCATCAGGAAGTGTAGAGAAATTATATGTGAATCGGAATTGAATGGAATCTGGGAAGGGCTGAATTAAACGAGAAAGTTAGGTTCTGGTATGTTTAATACCGAAATAGAGGACCAAGAATAAGCTTTAATAATTTGTTTGTAATAAATTCAAATATACCAAAGTTAGCATAAAATGTTGTTAAATTCGGAAAATCCCCATTAAAGTTAGGTAACTACATTAAAGTTCCATAATATTTTATTTCAATGATTATTTTATTCCTGTACTTTATTTCTTTTCATTCCCAAACTCGCTCTTTTATTCCTTTTAATTTATTTGCTATTCACTTTCGTTTGTTGTTTTCGTCATCAAATTCTATTTCAACACATTCACATGCAAATAGCTGTAGTCTCTTCATTTCTTTCCTCGTTCTTCCATTTCACCTCCCTTTTTGCTGTGTATCTCTAAGCGTTAATGTGCTCAATTGTTTGTTTGCCTCGTGCCGCATTCGCTGAATTTTCCCTCTTCACTTTTCCGCCCATCGCTTCATTGTCAACGCAGCGTTGTGAAAATTAATCAAAAAAACTTTTGCCAAACAACATTTTCAATTGACAATTTAAACTTTTATCTCGGAAGTCATTTTACATAAAAGTTTTGTGTTAAAAATTTGCCCAACTAAAAATGAAAAATGCCGACTGGCTTCTCGGCCTGCGTTACTTAAAGGAAAACTGAAACCGAAGGAAAGGGGGCCAAGTCACTTGAGTAGGCAGCTCACAGGCTATCAAAACTTTTGACGCTTAACTTGGTAGCTCCAGGAATCCGAGTTGTGAAGGAGGGGCCTTTTGTCTTGGCTCTGTTGTTTCTGGCCTAATGATAGCTGCGTAAGCAACGCACAACATTCAGAAAAGTGGGCTTTGGAATAGGTAAATATTTGGGGGCAGGGCTCAGAGAAAACCCCTTTGGGGTTAGCAGGAGGGAACCAGTAGGTTTTCGCAACAAGGCGTTGAAACCAGACCTGCAGACCCGTCACCCAAATCTCCTGCCTCAAGCGCACGCACTTTAAAATGGTTTATGCGGAGAAAATGTCATGATATTGGAACAAATTTTATTTTTGGAATAATTAAAACAAAATTTAATTTATAATAGACTCCGGAATAGGGTTTGCTTATAGGACATTTTTTTTGTTGCATACTTTTTGAAGGCCATGTTTCCTTTCATATCTTTGTGCACGTAAGGAGAAAAAAGGTTCCTGTTCTTGAAATGTTAAAGTTTAAGATTCAACCACTATATTAGATTAGGCAATATATTTGGAACTCATTTTTCGTTTTAATGTTTTAATCAATAAAGCATTAATAATTTATTCTTAAAATAATAAACAAATAAATAAGTAGCATATAATTTAAACATTTTTAGGACTAACCTTTTGTGACTTATTGCTGCCGCATAAACCTTTTAAATAATCTAACTAACCAAACAAAAGAGATTTCCCCTTCGGTCTTGTCTCTGCGTATTTATTTACATTTTACAAGGCCCAACGAAAGCACACACGCACGTGCATACAAGGAGCCAGGACAGGAGTCCTGAAACATGACAACAAGGCGCAAAATTATGCACAGAGTTGCCATTTGGCATCTCCCTCTCACTCGCTTATGGTCCAAAAATCCCAGAAGCGTTAGCGATGTCAGCGACGATGTTGCTGTTGCTGCTGTAGATGTTGCTGGAGTTGCTGCTGCTGTTGCTGCCGTTGATGTGTGTGCGACAGGCAGCAACAAGGTGGGATGAAAACAGAACAGCCGCAGATACAAACGCACATTCAAGGACCTCCACATGGGTGGGCGCCATAGAGGAAAATTCAATATGGCGTCGGGGTTGCTGCTCCAACTTCCAACTGCCAACTTCTGACGGATGACTGCCCCTGCGACTCGGCTCTAAAAGCCTGGCAAGAAAAACCAACAGCATCCGGGAAAGCAGCAATCAAGTGGAAGCGGGTTTGTGGTGTCATGTGCTTGGCTTATTTGATAAAAGTCTATCGGGTCTAAGGACGAGATAATACCTTGCTTCGGACTACCTTTGAAATCATACGTTTATTCGACTTATTTGAACGTTTAAAATGGATAACACCAACAAATCGGTTGATTAAAAAACTCTCAAAAATTAATATAAATTCAGAAAATTTCTAATATAATATCTCTCAAAAATCCTATAAAATATATTTCACATACTGCTAAGTTTAATGTATATATTACAATGCATATATTCGCGGAACATCGTTATTAGCTTTTCCTTTCGACTTTTGGTTAAGAAAGGCGGCAATCCGATAAATTCCCTTCTTGTCGCCACTCACTTTTGATGCGATTTTATTGTAGCATCATTCCAAGAATTTGTGCTGATTTCGATTTAGTTTGATTTCGCTCTGAGCGACGTACGAACAAAATGCTTGGCAAACTTTTCAGCGGGTGAAACTTTGAACATAAATTGCTTATCGCATTCTCAATTCTCCTCTGAGCATATATTTGTAGCACACGATAGGGCCTAAACAATAATTTTCATTTATGCTGATAGGGAGCCGGGGGAAAACTTTGGCGCGCTTGGCTGTAATCCAATTTACCTAACAACAATTACGGAAAAAGGCGAGCGCAAATTATGTATTATAATTTATGTTAATTACTCAATTACATTTGAGCCCCCAGAAGTACAAGAAGCAGCAGCTCCGTCCCTCCCCCCAATTATAAATTCCAAACACAAATGCGTCTCATTAATAAATATGAAACGTCAATGGGGGCGAACGACACTATCAGCGGGAGAAGGGGAAGGTGTGGGCGTGCCGCAAAGATTACGCAAGAAATCAATATTCAAGTGGGCCGAAAAAGGGGTTGAAGTACCTAGGGACGACAAGGAAAAACCGAGTGTTACGCACTCCAAAACTCTTGACTCCTGAGCCGGGGCCCTTAAATTTAAATAAATTACACACGTTCGACTTTTTCAGTTTGACTAACTTTCTGCTTCTTACCCAATCTCGTCGTATTCTCCTTCTCCTTGGGGGTTGACATACGAGCCGGCAATTTTTCAAGGGCAACTTCTCGAACTCCACAAGGTAAAACAAAAGGGCGACAAAGCTATAGCCCAATACACTACGAAAAAGTTGAAAAATCTACTAGAAAAATGTAGTTTTCACTGGTTATTATATTTATATTTTGGTAAAAGCAAAAAAAGAATAAAAACAATTTTATTTAATAATCTAATTGCTAAAAATATTTAAATACATAATTAACTATGGTTTTTAAAAATCCTTTATATTTACTTGATCGTGTAAAAATAATAATTAATTATATGGTTTTCCAAAAAGCTGGAAAAGATTTACTCACAAAAATACATCTTTATAAATTGATTGACAATTTTCCTCGAAGTGTATAAAAAAGGCAGCTGTGGGTGTGTTTCTGGGGGGAGTCTCCCCATTAAGCAATTTCCTCGTATGTTTTTTTATCCTGCTCCATTTTCATGCCATCGCCAGGCTGGGAAAGATTTATGAGGTTTTTTGACAGCGAAAAATTAGGCAAAATGTGATTTAAGGGTTGTTCGGGCCCTTAGCCCACCTTTCAGCCATTTTCCCCATTTCACGTTGCTGGTGCCAGAGATAAGCCGAGAAAATAGGGGGAGATGTGAGTGAGAAGGAGCGGAAAAGCTCTGGGCAATTTATTTTATTTGCCAAATAGTTATATGGAGCACGGCAGTCAGGCAACACTATTTATTTGATGATGTATTTTTATTACGAAAGAATTTATTAGATCGTGTTTGTTTCACTCCCGGAGTTGCTCCATTGA